CGGAAGAACCCGTCCAGGAGTGCACGGTGTGAAATATATCGTTTGTGACATCCATCCTGGAACTTTTCTGACACCTCGTATTCTGGGTAGCAGAAGGTGATGCGGGGGTGGATCTGAACTCCTGTCCCATCCTATTTCTAAAAGAATGACTCCCATCCCATCCTGCTCTTGTGTTGTTCTTCAGGCAGGTTCTCTTCATGCAATTCTTTTTTTTTTACCCAAAGAAGTGACACTTTTTATTGTAGGTGGACAGTTCATTGGGGTGTAGACTGCTTTACTGCAGCTTTACTGCCTGCAACTAGCCATTAAACATTACAAAATGTCGATGTAGTGCCATCCAGCCCACTTGTTGGAGCTCCTCTATAGCATATTTCTGTAGAGTCTTATAACCGCATTCAAACTTTTATGACATTTAAGTGTCAGTTTGGCTTAAAAATGACTCGGGCACACTTGTTTTAACGGGTTTACAGGATGTATGAACATGAAGTTTTCCAGTCAGCAGAGGTAGAAGCTTGCTTTTTCTAAACCAAGTTGAATCCCTTTGTTGTGTATTTTACAAAAACTGAAAAAATTCAACTCAACGTGTACAACCTTTTACCGAGTACCCACCAGTGTTACCAACACTGGGGAAAACATGGTGTATACACATCCTCTGTGTAGACACTGCCTGCAGTTCAGCCGAGTGGCCAATGGCTGCCCAGGTGGCTGAGCAGCAGAGAATTTTTTTTTGTTTGTTTGTTTCGTAGAGCAAATGATTCATTTTTTGGCAAATTTTTAAATGTGACATTTAGAATATTGTGATTTTGATGAAGGGTCACAATTTGTCCTTAAATAATTTTACCAACAGACCAAAACACTACAGAGGATAAGTTTAAGGAGAGTTGGGAAGCTCAACATTTTTTTCTGCTTTTACAACTTTTTTTAAAAGTTAACATGTCTTCTAAAGCTGCTGGCAAGTTTTGAGGTTCAGAGGGTTCAGACTACTTATTCTATACAAAATGTTCGTAGTTAGGGGGGAAAAAAACCAGAGTTTTGGTCACATGACTGTACTGAATAGTTTTTGTTTTTTGCAAGTTTAGCAAAAACACTTTAGTTTTGGCAGTTTTTATACAAGACATGTAGACTGGTAGAAACACCTCATCTCCTTTCATTTAAAAAATTCCTTTTAAGCACATTGAATTGCTCAACCCATTTGCTGGAGATACTTCTGGACTGATCAGTTTCTGTGAGTAAAAGTCTCGTTCAGCCTGTTTCAGCTGTGTTATTTGCCTTCATGTTCCCTCCAGGCTTATACCAGTGTGAGTTTTACAGCGGCTCCATCGTGCACATGGCCAAGTACGAGCTGAAGGTGGCTCAGCTGCCTGATGTTATCATCTTGAAATCCGACCCTCTGACTGTGCAGTGCAAAGACACTTCTAAAATGGATGCAAAGATCATCGCCACCATCCCTAAAACCACACAGCACTATGAAGTGTGGTGGAGTCTCAACGGTGACGGAGTATTCCCTCTACAGAACGAAAGTGAGGCAAACCCACAATCTCTCTTTGCTCCTACAGTCGTCCTCAAATGTATTCATACCCTTCCATCAAAGAAGAGGCAAAGTTCACAACAGTCACTCAAATAACTAAATTATAATTTAGTGAAATAAGACATTGCTTTTGAATTGTGTTTGAAAAGAATAATAATTTTAAAAGGTGCAGAAGTCTGATAGAGAGTTACAGAAAACACTTGATTGCAGTGATCGCCTCCAAGGGTCCCATCATGCTTGTTTGCTTGTTGTTTTTTGTTTGTTTGTTTGTTTGTTTTTTATATATGTATATTTCTGTTGAACCACAACTCAAAAGCAATGTCATGTTTTTCTTTTTTCTTTTCTTTTTTTTAATTTATTACTACTTTTGTCAATTTCAGCTTATTTCAGTGATTGAAGCTGTTTTTTTTCCTTCTTTAATGGGAGAGTGTGAATAAATCTGAGGACGACTGTATGTGTCTACTACCTCCCTAAAGCTAAAATAACACTACTACAAATTTAAAATCACAGTATTTCTAAAGAATGCCTGTGTAAAATCCGCCTCTAGATACAACTCTGAGGCTAACATCCATCTTTTATCACAGCTGATGACGAACTGCTGGTCTACACCTTTACCGCCCCCGTCAGCTGTGTGAAAGTCCCTGATGCACAATATGTGAATATCACTTTTGAAAACATGAAGGGACAAACGAAAACTGCAAAACTGGATATCCCAGTGATCTATGGTAGTTAATTCTTTAATTACATCTCTTTTCAGCAACAAAGTTTACATTTACTCGTAAAGACCATGTACATCATGCCATTGTTGACTTTCCAGGGACTCCTGGAAATGTGAATTTTCTTTGATGGAATCCTTGAAACATATGAGTCTTTGTAACAAAAACAATCATGCATTTTCATAGATTTATTATAGGTTTTCTGGAGATTTGCTGGGTCACAAATGTACATACGGCAATGCTAATATTTGATTAAATCTAATTTGGCCATGTTCACCTCAACTGGATGCTTTTGGTTGTATCTTGAAGAATTTGAAGGTAATCCTTAAATCATTCCATTTTTGTTTTCGTGTAACCATTTCCACTGGCAGCAACACAGCTCATAATTAAAGCTGTACATATTTTAACAGATTTTTGTGTGTATATATATATTGTCATATTTCCCCCAAAAACAATAATCAATCTATGAAAGAATCAAAATGATTGGGGGGGGTTGTGACAACGACACATGGATTTCAATGATTCATTCACAGAAAAGTCAGAGTTATAGGCGTCATTGGAAACGCAAGACTGCCAAGATATACGTGTTCTTCACAAGTGTATGGAAACTTGATTTGCGATATTACAGTCATGAGCTACATTTATTTATGTTGATGTCTCTTCTGTCAACTAATGACTCCCTGTGTTTTGTCTTTAAGCTGGAAAAGGATTTTGTGACCAAGAAGTGTTGAATGGAGATGTGTGGCCCGTAACTCCAGCAGGTCAGACACTGATTAATCGAACGTGTCCAGAGGGCAGGACTGGATATAGGTCACGTACTTGTGATATGAATCGTGTATGGCAAGAAGTGTTCCCCAGCTGCGTTAGTGAAGAGCTGGTGAAAGTTGTGACGGCAGCAGATGTGAGTGTAGCATTCCTTCTCATGCAATCTTACAGGTTCGTCTGAAGTGTGAGTTGTTTATATTGCAGTAGCCCACTGTACAGGAGGGCATTAGGACCCAGGGGCAATTTGGCCAGACAAGGTGAGAGCACCTCACCTGCTAAAAGAAGCAGGAAGCTCAGGTGTGTCATTGTTGTTCCTGCTAATGTGGTCACTCCTGTGCACATGCTTCTTTGGCAAGAAAAGCAAATCCTCTGTGCTTTATTTAGTGTTATTTAATCACTAAGGTGATGTCGAGGGGTCTTTCCATGTCTAATTTTATGGTCACATTTTAAAAGAGGAAATTAGTATTTATAAAAATACAGTTAATTGATATAGACATTTTTTATTTTTTTATTTTTTTTACAGTTTTGGCCTGTTTTTTTTATTATTATTCGTTACAGTCAACAGGTAAATGAATATTTTTTTCTGTGATGTTACTTATTATTTAATAAATCAGGAAAATTCTGTAAAACAATAGTTAATATGTATATTTTCCTTTCAAATAACAGCAAATGTTTGTAAAATATTAAATATACCTGCCAATTTAAATACAGTAGAAAAAAAGTATAAGTTTACAGTCAAACGCTATAAAAGAATAAATTACTGTTTATAAGAAATACAGAAAATAAGTGTTATTTGTAATTTTACCAATAAAAAAAAAAAAGAAAAATCTGTAAAATACCATTAAATTGTTCCGTTAAAAACTGCTTTAAACATTTTAAAAGAAAACTTTTTTTTTTTTACAGTACAGCTGCAGCACTGAAAAGATCTTTTGATGAGTTAACTGTAGAACTTACCAAGCTCAAGAAGTTAAAAAGAAAAAACAAACAAACAAAAAAAAATAGCAACCTGCATTTTGGGTCCCACTACTTCCTTCCGACACTGATTCACAGAGCCTGTATTTACTTTTATTTGTACTTTGGCATATCTTGGTTGTGTGAGGTTCTACCTGCATCGCAACAATTAGTGCTCAGTGGTAAACACGATAGGACGAATCAATGTCGCTAAAATATCTTCTACAATAACTCCCTCTATAGTTAACTCATTTTGTCACTTTAAGCAAACTAAGATCTACTTCTTCAAACAAAATCGTTGCCTTGTGTGATGCACAGGGAACCATTTAATTCACAGTGGAAATTTGTCTAAATAGTCTAGAACCTCATTTAAAATGTTATAATATGACTGACTTTAAAATTTGGTTTTGATTGGTTTTCATTTTGAACATCAATATCTCAGAAACCTTTCAAAGCCAGATGGAACCGTAATGACTACTCAGATTCCTGATTTTTTCTTTCTGTAGCAATTTAACTTGTGCACTTCTGTACACTAATAATTTGTTTTCTAGAATTTCCTGAAGGGAATGGGAGCTACGTCGGAGGTGGCCCAGTCCATATTTGAAGGCCTTAAGAACAGCTCTACGATCGACCCGGATTCCAGCGACAGCACAGCTGACATTGCTGCTTCTATCAACGTTCTCGATACAATGTCCAAGGCATCCAAAAACAATGCTTTGCAAGAGGACATCTTCCCTGTAAGCTGCTTTACTTTTACTGTGGTTCATGCTTGACCTTGAAAGCAAAAAATTCTCAACACAAGGTCCAACTCAGGACTTTAAACCAGTTTTCATTCCTGTACCTGTGTTCATGCTCATGTGTTTTCTCTAAAGAAAGATTGAAAGCTTTACGTGGAATTATGGATGCATTAGAATTTTCATCCACAGATTAAACACCTAGCTTCCTTGAAAAGCCAAGAAGTTTTCAGTGTAGCCTGACCTTGTGTTTGGCTAGCTCATGTTCGATTATGTCAAACTGTGTTGAAGGTTCATATTTATTCGTGTGTTTGAACCACAGACTGTATGTAAAGATGGACAAACCCTCTGCGACGCCACAGAGGAGCTTAAGCAGGCATTTACTTGTCACTCAAGGCGACCACACCTTCAATTATGCAGAATTTTGAGCCTTATTATAATTTAAATGGGTGATTTCTATTATAATTCAGCCTTGTACAGTTGTCACAAACAGGGGAATTAGCTATCGAGACCAAAACATTTTTTTTTGTACCAGGCTGCAACATGTTTATTTCCACTGTAAAGACCATTTTGCCGTGGGGGTCTATGGGGATTGACTCACTTTTAAAGACAGCCTCCAGTGGCCATTCAAGGAACTGGTTTTTTTTTTGTTTGTTTTTACATTTTATCGTAAAAAAAGTAAATAAATCAGACAGTGCCTACTGGTGGTCGTCCCTGTTAAGTAGCCACTGTCTAATTTATTTCCATAGCATTATTTCGCTGTCTAGCATTCTAGACAGTGTGGATTTTAGAGTTTTTAAATTCTAGGGAATCGGCACTCAATAATAATCTATATTTAAAGAGCACATTTCAAATTCCAGGTTACAAAGTGCCTCAAAAGAAGCACAGCATGCTGTAGAAAACCAACACCGAAAGGCAAAGCAATAATATTACATCTAACAAAACAGACTTGAAAAGAGAATAAAAATAAAAATAAAAATCAGGACCTCTCAGATAAAAGTATGTCTTAAGGAGAAACATTAAGATCACTAACTCGGCCAACCTGATTTTCTTGAGAAGATCGTTCCAGAGCCTTCGGGGCCAGGACAGTTTGTCCAATTACCACCAACTATTTCACACTGGAATGTCTCTGCTGGTTCACCCAAAAAGGACCCTGTGCAAGAGACTAAACAAACATCTGAAGCAAACAGCATGAGCTATCTGTCATGATTTTAACAGGGAAGAGGTCAAACGTCATTAAGCACTAGTCCTTGGATGGCTGGAGGAAGATCTTGGAGGTAATGACAGAATCACATGACAGGATTTTTCTTAGTTGGGATCAACAAGTTAGTAAGACCTTATGCTGAGAATTTCATCTGTTCAAATGTGCACGGTCACTCAGTTTAATAGAACATTTTCATGAAGCTTGTGTCCTCTAAAACTGGGTATTTTTTTGTCACATATTGTTGAAAAAAAAATTTTAAATCCTCTGGTTTATCCACAGGTAGATAAGTGCATCAGTGGAAGAGCTGTCTCGATTACAGGCAGCCTTTGCATCTAAAAATGCTCCAGCTAGCATTTCTTGACGTGTCATCAGATGCATTAGGCTACCAGTTGGAGAAAAGTGTGATGATATGAGTTTGACAGTTGCCACTGAATTTGGGCTGCTTGACTGAATCTTTGATCATATTCTTTGTTTAATTCTGTTGCAGACTTTTGTTGAGGCAGCAAGCAATTTGCTGAACGACAGCTGGAGCAGGGTAAACGATTCAATCCGTCACAACATGTCATCAAATTACCTCTTAGCCGTAGAGGATCTAGTGAAGAACATCGAGACCAATGGGACCAAAGAATTCATCAGTGAGAACTTAGACGTCAAATTCTGCACAAGCGATGACTGTAATATGTCCGTGTTTGACATCGGCGTGGATCTGGAAAAGTCCAGCGGAATACTGAAAACTGTGGCTGTGAAAAATCTTGTGGAGAAACTGAAAAACAACTTCAAGGAAACACAGCGTACCGACCTTATATTATCCGCCACGCTGGAAAACAGCAATAATTCAGAGATAAAAATTAAGATGGACTTTCCGGTAAAGAATGAAGGGCCAAAAAGAAGATTTCACTGTGTCTTCTGGGACGTCAAGAAGCACGAGTGGTCAGAAAAAGGATGCCTTGTCAGCTCTAGTGATCGTGGCCAAATATTGTGTACGTGCAACCACCTGACGGCATTTTCTGTCCTCATGGCCAAGGGCGATATATCTTCTGAAGCCCTGGACATGATTACCAATGTGGGCCTTGCTGTGTCCATTTTCTCCTTGTTGCTCTTTCTCACCATTGAGTTTGTCGTGTGGTCGGCTGTGGTCAAGTCCAACCTTTCGCATTTCCGTCACACAGCTATAGTGAACATCGCCGTCTTCCTTTTACTTGCCAATTGCAGTTTTCTGGCTTCGAGCTCTCCTGAGAGTCTCTCTGACACCACGTGCTTTGTTTTGACCGTGTGCAAGCACTTGTTTTTCTTGGCGATGTTCACCTGGATGCTGTGCATGAGTGTCATGCTCGTCCACCAGCTCATTTTTGTCTTCAGCCCGCTGAGGAAGCGAGTCTTCATGTTCCTCTCCAGCATCTTGGGCTACGTTGTCCCAATCCTGATTGTGGGATCCAGCTATGTTTATTGCAAATACACCTTCAAGGACTACTATAACAGGAAAACATGCTGGCTAGTGTTTGAGAGACTCTTGGAGGGATCCATGCATGCTTTCCTTATCCCTGTGGGATGCATTGTGTTGACGAATCTCTTCTCCATGGTGGTCGTCATCGTTACCCTAGTAAGGTCCTCGGCTACTGACAGCAGCAAGGCGGACGACAAGGACACAGCCAAAGGCATCCTCAAAGTGGTGCTCGTTCTAACGCCAATCTTTGGAGTGACGTGGATTATTGGCTTCTTTCAGCTGATGTTGGACGAAACTGACCCCATGTATATGGTGGCTATCTACAGTTTCACCATTCTCAATTCCTTCCAGGTAATTTGAAAGCAACCCACACCCCAAGCGTTAGGGATCCAGCTTTCTAACTGTCATTATCAGTTCCAATAGCTTCATTTAGGATCTCTGCTGGTACTAATTTTAAAACATAATACATGAGGGTATTTTTCTCAAATCTAAGCCATGTGTATTTGAATTCTTCACTCGATGGAACTTAGGCTTCATCCACCTTCATATGTTTTTATTTGAAAACTTATCAATGGAGAAATGGAAACTTTCAGAAAACGATGACGCAGACACCCAGGTTCACGCTCCGATTTGGCCTAAACTGTCGTTCAGGTATCGGCATTGGATGTAGTTTCCTGATTTGTCACGCTCATAGCAGAAGGAAGCAGCAAATCAACTTCATTAACCAGTGGCTAGTTTCAACATATATAACAAATTACAAGCATTTCTGTGCTGTTTTTGCTCAGCCAATGAACATTTGATTGGGTTGTGAGGTTGTACGCAGCTTTTTTTGATCATAGTCTGTTAAAGTTGGAGAGACGTGACCTTACCAGATCTCTGTAGCCCTTTCTTAACTCTGTAGCTAACACAGTAATCAATGGTTTTAACAAAGAACAGGAATCCGTGGCATAAAAAAAAAGATATCTTTGAATCTGCTGCACTAATTTTAAGAAGTTTTATAGAAGTGTAAATGCTAAATTGCTGGATTTCCTTTAATGATTGTAAATGAAAGTGGTTTTGTATCTTTCTGCAAGCAATAAATTGTATTTACTAGGTTCTCAAAATTTCAAAAGCTCAAGGTCAATGTACAGAATTCGTATTGGGTGATTCAACATTACCCATGTACATAGAGTCGCCATGCATCAGTAAGGCAGAGACATGGTTTTGCAAATACAACTCAAGCAAAGGAACAATTTAATCCAGGCTAAATGTATATTTTAAGATTTAATACTGAGCCACTATTATCTGAAGCATGTAGTCAGTCAGTCCACATGCTGGCTGTAGTTCTTAATGTTCTGTGTGTGCATCAGTTTACTTCCTGCACAAATGCTGTCACTGGACACAGTTAATGTAGTTTGAGTATAAATGGAATTTATGAGACTAATGCTATTGAAGTGTGATCAAGAAGAAAAAAAAACCAGCTTGAAACATGTTACATTGTGTTTCTTCTCTTGCAGGGCCTTTTCCTTTTGATAACTGGCTGTTTTGCAGAGCAGAAGGTAGGCTTGACATTTTAACAATGGACAGACATCAGAGTCATAATGTTCACTGGTTTATTGAAAATCTCTTAAATAGTCATGAGAAGGGTTAGATTGCAGACGGGCCCAGACATGTTGTCACAAACCACAGTGAAAATATAAAAAGTATTCGCCTCCTTTGAAAGTTTGAGGCCTGATGCTGGAATTGCAGCAAAAAGTGCATTTATTGAATGAAGAGCCTGAATGCTTATGCAATTATTTACTTTACATTTTGTATTTTTTTCATTAATTGACATTACTTTGTCGACATGTGTTTTCACTTTGACGTGAAAGAATCTTTCTTGAGTAAATTCTTGTCCAAAAACCCAAAAATAAAAACCTTGGAAAGCAATAAAAGGCACAGTATGTTGTTTAATGTCTACCATGTATTTAATTTACCAAGCAGTGTGTCTGTGTTATTTCTATCAGGTCAGAGAAGAGTTCATAAAGGTCATCACTGTGAGTATACCCATCAGATCTATTCAGGATGTTGCTATAACGTGACAGAAACATGCATCACAGGGGTTTTTGTGTCCTTCCGCAGGGAAAATCAAAGGGAGGCGACACCTCGAAGAATCTGACTTCGACTACGTACACAAAAGACAAATGAAGAGGCAGGTCAGTTTTACACAATGTCATTAATAGTCTACTTCTTAGTTGTATCCACACATTTGCTGCATTTTTCCAAATATAAATAAGCATTATATTTCAGGCCTGTGCATGCTTTTAGCCTGTAAAAGCTGCTGGCTCTTGCAGCAGCAACACTGACTTTGTGTCTTGAATCATGTTATGTCAATCAAAACCCAGCAAAACAAAGGTGCATCAGTTACTCACATTTGTTTTGCAAAGACATTGACGTTGTTTGGTGTATGAACTTTACACTGTTGCAATGATACACTACCCAGCTGTGATGTTGTAGTTAATATGCAAATAAATCCAAATAAGCTCCAAATATACAGCACAGCTGAGGCTGATGGAGTTACCAAGTTTTGCGCTTATTATGCCATAAAGGAAAGTATGGAGCAAATAAAAGCATTGACGTGGTGAGAAGGTAAGGGTTCAGCAAGTCAGTACCGCCTTAGTAATGTTTAGTACTGACGCTGCAGCTTCTGGAAATGACCAACCCACTTTATACTCCTGTTTTAAAATCGTCACTGTTTGATAGATTTATGTTGTTTCTGTTACCAGCTTTAATTATTCAATCAAATTAGTATCTGAGAAATCCTGTTTTGTCCATTATTTCAGCGAGGCACACCCAGAGGCCTAGGGCTTCGTTGCCATAGAAAAGCCAAACAGAATGAAAAGGGAACCCCTAATTCATTTATGTGCACAGTTGATTGAGGAAGAACAGCGCTGCATTCTTGACTGTACGCAAATGCATTATAAAAATGACAATAAAGGAATCTTCAGTCTTGAAATCTTGAATCACAGCGGTTGCAGTACATCTAAAAAAAAAAAAGTAAGCTTGGAAACTTGATGTTTCTCTGCAATAAAAATGGTACCAAAAAACGTTAGTGCAAGACAATTAGACATAACAAGGTGCCAGAAAAGGTTCTGCACACTCCAAAGTTCTAAATAAGGAATTCCTCTCGGTGAACACATCAATCTAAAAGATTAGAACTGGTGCTTCTCTGCAACGTAATGTCTTTATATTCACATCATTTTATACAAATGGTTACTGATGATTTCATACCCATCCAGTAATAAAGTATTCCAGCTGTGAGTTATGTAACTCTATGTAAAATATTGGATTTTTACCTCCACAAGCATTAAACTTATTGGGTGTCTTCCATTTTGAAACCCTATAATTGTTCAAAAAGCCAAACTGCACTGTAGAGTTAGGATATCACTAAGTCCATTAGGATGCATACAGATTGTATGTCTCTCCATCAAATATTTCACTGTCAGACTTAAAATGCCATCGTCAGAGGCATGCTTCTGCCATGAATGAATGTTTCATTACATTTTTTTAGCAATCAAAATTGTTCTTTATTCAGTTGCAGCAGTGTACCGTCTGGTGCCTTTAAACTGTTATAAAGTCAGAGCCAACAGCTTCAATTGTTTTGTGGATTTAACACCACTCAGCTTGTACTTCCTGCTGTTATGTAACATGTTTTATTGACTTTAAAATCAATCAAACAATCTTGTTTTTCTTTTTTTTTTTTAACTTTTCAGACTGTGGAGACGGAAACGGCGGCTCACACGTGTGCAGCTCCACATGCATCCTAGAAGAAAACACATCTCAGAGTTTGCTTTGTCTTAGCTTATAGTTCTTACAGTTGCAGAGGTGTAGACAGTTGTAGTAAAACCAAGTAAAATGTTGACTAGAGGTTAGGAAATATAGAGGACATTACATTTACACACATTAACTGACAGCACATTTAAATGCCAATTATTTTCTTAGTGATAGAGTAGAGGCTGATTTTTTTTGCCCCCATTTATATGTAAGTTGAATTGCAGTTAGTGTCACTGTATAGCTTTAGGGAGAGACTATATATAATAATCTCTGGGGGGAAAAAAACTACTTAATTAGATGTTGCAGATTCTGTACACCAAGAGTTTAGTGCTGACTGTACATAGAATGAAATCCGTTTTAATATGCTTTGTTTGATATGTTTCTTTACAGGCTGTAAATTTACACTGTTTGACGTGAACCATAACCTGCATGTGTCTGTATGAGCATCTGTATGTATCTTAAATACGTAGCCGACTGAAATAAAGAAATACAAAGCCTTTTATTACTGAGAAATTTAGTTCTCACCTTACATTTTACAGCATAGAAAACATTTAGCAGATTACACACAACCAGAGCTGCTACATTCTTTGAGAACCTGAAGTCTGACAGTAGTTTTGATTATAATCAAGGAAATCTGTGGCTGTTGGACAGTTTTCTTCCTGGTAAATTTACAACTTGTACGACTTATTGATCACATTTTTTATTTTTATGAATTCAGAGGGATTTAAAAAAATATATATATAACACAATATTAATCTTTACACCTGAGGACGCCCATGTTATGTTTATTATCCAATCTATCTTCAATGAACACTAATACTCCTCTCCAGTACTGGAGCTATGTTTTACTGTGATTTCACTGCTGAATGAACGCAGAGGACACATTAGTCCTCTAAAATGGTTTTTCACTGCCCTCTCCTGATGACGGTGAAAATGGCCAACGCCAGGAACACAAATCCTGCTGCGCCTCCGATCAGAGCTCCCAGAATGCTTCTGTCTACCTTCAGGTCCTCACACCTCTTTCCAGAGTAGAAGGTGGCCTGGCTTGTTGCACACCTGAAAACAAACAGATTTATTTCTTTTTTTAGATATATATCACAAATGTGCCTTATATCATGAGTCTTTGAGCTGTCGTGTCGACGTGATTCTTTTTTGCCCACAGTCTTGTGTCACCTGGATGGCAAGAATAACTCCGTGTTTTAATAAGAAAATAGAGAAAAAAATGGATAAAAGATCCATCAGTTTGTGTTGTGAGGGTTTAGTACCAGAGTATCAAATACTTTATTACCAAGATTAAGTTGGAGCCAGTAAGTGATTAGCTTGGTATAGCATAAAACTTGCAATAGGGGGAAACAGTGAGCCCGTTTCTTCACAAATTTAATACCTAATGTAGTTTAATACTTAATGTACAAATATGTGAATCTTCATATTTCTCATCTGTGAAATTCACCTCTCAGCATTCTGTTTAAACTCAGACTGTTCAGTTAAATTCAGAATATTCTATTTAAACCCTTAATGTTCTATTATAACGCTGAGGATCTCTTTAATCTCTGATCATTATTTAGACTCAGAACATTTTATTTAAACTCTGAAAGCTCTATTTAACGCTGACATTTCTGTTTAATGTCTGGACATTGTCTAAAGTCAGAATGTTGTGTTCAAAGTCTGAGAGTTCGGTTTGAATTTGCCATTTCTGTTTAATTTTTGAACAATTTTTGTTTTTCGTTTAAAATCAGACAGTCTGTTTAAACTACAAATGTTCTATTTAAACTCTGAATGAAGAGTAACCTCATAATGTAGTTTTATACTTTAAACCTGAACATCATGTTTAAACTCCTAATGTCATTCTTACAACTCTTCTGGTCACAAGCCAGATGTCAGTGTGTTCTGTAACTAAACTTGTCAATTTGCGCTCTTCTGAGATAAGAACTGACCGGTAATAAGTTTACAGCTGCCAAAATAATACTAGTAGTGTTATGACTAGTTGACAAGCAGCACTATAAAGTACATCCACCCCTGAAAAACACAAACACACACCTACAGGAGGCTTCCCCGTTACTCTCCACACACACGCCTCCGTTAAAACACGGGTTCGGGTAGCAGGGGTCGGCAGCTCGAGCTTCTCTGTGTTTTGGAGCCTGTGGTTTAATTTTCTCCTCGATGACTGGCTCCTCTTCTGGGACGGCTTTGCTTGTTGTAGATGGCTGGACGGGCACCTCAGTCTTGATCAGGTGGGTCAAATCTAAAGAAAAGTCAGTAAGTAAAACAAGCCGCCTGGTGTAAATAGATTAAAGAGCTGATCCTCACCGTTGAAGTCAGCAGTAATGATGAGGTCATCGTCCTTCAGGAAGCTCCGCCTCTGCAGGTGTTGGTGGGAAATGAAGGTGCTCCAGCCGTAGTCTCGAGTGCGGTAACACTGACAGTTTTCATCCCACAGTGCTCCAGATGTGGCTGTTGGCTTGTTCCAAAGGGGGTTAGTGTCTGATGGTCAGAAAAAGAAAAAAGACATTTTACACAGCTCAGAAATATGCATGTTTGTGGCTGAGGTGAACTGCAGAGTTACAAGCAAGCAATTCTTTACATGCTGTTTTCAAAAGGTCAAAAATATGAATTCGTGCAGCTTTATGGATTTTAATCTTGCACCAAAACCCCCTAAAATTAGGACTTATAAATAGGGCTGCCAGGTTTTCACTACAAGACTATTGTGGCCAAAAGAATTCAAGATAACAATATTATCATGATACCTATAGAGCTTTTTTTTTTTTTTTTTAAAGATGCTTAAAGTCAACTTCAACTTGTTGTTGTCATTGGAAATTAAATCACTCTCAAAATACAAGTGTAAAGAGGTGGAGAGAGAGTCTGTAACCATAATTGTACTTTATGTCATTCATGTGTTGTACTGTCAACTGGTGGGTTACTAGTGTTGGATGATTTATAACATTTTCATATGTATATTATTAATATGACATCAACTTGCTCATTTTTTTGCTATCTTGGGCTTCATTAGTACCGGTATATTGCGACACCCCGACTTCCAAGTATTATTTTTCCAGTGTTTTACAGATCCAGCCAATTTTCATGGTACACCTTCGTTCAAACTGACGTGTTTTGAACATGGACTTCCCCCCACTAAGAGTTTTTATTGGAACTGCTGTCCCTCACAGAAAAAGAATGAATGGAAGAAAATTCCATGCATCCACTGTATTGGGGTGGAGCAGAAAATCTCAAAAGGTGACAACATCAAACCAGGAGTATCTCCATGTTACTGAACCTTATTGTCCCAAGGTTCTGGCCATGACCTTGTCCTACCTGTGGTGAAGCTTCTTGTGGACGACATCCTTAGTTTCACATCCGGATCCTGGTCCATGGCAACAATAGTGGCCTGTCTGTTTTCAGCCGGCCACTGCATCACTGCATCATTCTCCCCGCTGCAAAGGTGGAACGTCATGGCTACGTAGTCTGGGTAGGCGCTGTCTCTTCCGTTGGGGAAAACACTGATGCCAAAGCGGTAGCCCTCTGAGTTGTAGAAGCAGTCACTAGTGAGCTTGTTGCCAGCAGGAGTTGTGGCAAGGAGTTGGGTGAAGTTGTGGATTTGCCACACAGCAGCGGGGCAGACGGCCTCCGTGAGAGTTATGTCATCAACCAAGATGGCGCCCGAAGAGCTAGCCGATCCTCTGATGCCTTGGAAGAAATAGCGGAACTTCTCTGTCACCTTGAGAGTCATGTGGGCTATTTTCCAGGCATCATCTCCATCACCTGAGAGGCAAGAAGCAGGTGATTAACAAGCCTATTTGATAGTGCATTGTGTGTTTAAAACGAGTCAATCGTGCAACTAAAACATGGTAAGAAAAATGAAGGAACTTTGACATTAAAAAAAACTTGAAGGTAAAGCACTCCTTTCTAGCATTCCAGTGGAAAAATACCAGTAATGGTGTGGATCTTCTTGGGATTGCGTACTGCCCCAGTCCCATCGTCAGTCCTGATCCAGATCACCAGTTTATCACCAGCAGCGCCAGTCATCTTATAGAAGAACTGCAGGCACTGTTCGTCTCTTTTGGGGTAGAGAATACGGGACTCCAGCAAAGCACTGCTGCCAGCAGTACCGGAAGATGTGTCGAACTTCATGAAGTAGCCAGAATCTAAAAAGTACACACGGTGCATGTTTTGATAACCGAGTAACAGAAATGACATAACTTTGAATAAATAAGTGGGAACTAACAATCATTACTCCTGTGCTTTTCCTGTCTTAAATAAGTTGAGCTAAGTAAATCCTCAATCTGGGGTCTTTAAAACATGGCCATACTCAAAACTTTCTGTCCAAGCAAGACTTAGAAAGACTCCTTGATTTTTAATGACCTGTCGAGTGGACTACCATAACGCACCCCTTACTGTCTGCACGAATAAGACCATTAGACATTAGACTCATTAAAAATGTTGCTGCTGGAATACTGACAAACATCAAGAGGAGAGAACACACTACTCCTATTCTTAGATCCCTGTACTGGCTACCTGTTAAATATGGAATTGAATTTGAGGCCTTCCTTGTTGTCTGTAAGTCTCTGGATGGTCTGGAACCAAAACAGATCAGAAATATTTTTGCTGAAGCCTTGAGAGTTTTTCCCAGAGTTCAAACCAGACAAGGTGAAATGGCATTTAGTCATTTGGCTGCAGGAATTAGCTCCCCTTGGAACTTAGATTTAGCCCCAAATGTATGCGCTTTAGTCTAATCGTTTTCATTGATTCTACAAATCTGTATGCCCGTTATACAACTTGTCTGTACTGTTTGTGACTCATTAAATTTAACAAATTTTGATACTTTATTTAATTTCTTTCTTTCTTTCTTTTAACGTTCGCCTGTAAAGCACATTGAATAATCTCTGCATATAACGGGCTACATAAATAAACATGCTCGGTTAAGATTCCCGATTGTTGATAGTTAATTTGCTCAGCACCTCTGCAGCGCCCTCCGAGTGTATGGTCCGTATCCACCGGACTGCTCAGCGTCTGAACCCAGTCTGCGTTGTCGTCCTCGTTTTGGATCATTCCACAGATGTTGATCAGCTCAAAGGAGCACTGGTCCAGGAGAGTCAGTGTGTTGGCTGCGACAGGACAGCGATTAAAAGTCAGGATACAAAACTGAAAACACAACCTGTCTGCAAAATGTGAGTTTATCTCAGTGAACCCGATAATGTTGTTAAGACAGGACCTCCTTCACCTCCATACTGTGAGAACGTAACACATATACATATATAAATAAAAAGCACTGCCTTCCTTTGTACATGCATGCCTGATTTTTAAAAATATTCCTGTTTGACCCAGTACCAACACAGTTTTTTACTATTGTTTTGGTCAAAATATGCTAATTATAACCAATGTAGCCTGAGCTGGTCACTGTGGCTACACTGATTATAATGGTGGGAAATTTGCAATACAGTTCATCACTTTCTATGAAATAATACATAAAGGAGGTGAAGGACTGGCTTATTTTTTACCAAAAACAGCCCAAAACTGTGCTTTAGTCTGATGCCACTGGTGTATTTTTACATAATAAATCCTCCTGATGTGGTTTTAAAGCTGCAACATTTGGTTATTTTGATAAGTGGTGGCAACAAGCATGCTACGAGACAGCCCTGACACATAATCATCTGATATTTTTGTGACAAATGAAGCCACAAAAAACAAACACCTTCTTTTGCACACGGTCATGTAAAGTATGGACCGACATTAGTGCTCATTTTTTAAGCTTTCCACCAACTCCTAATAAAGATATTTGTCTCTCCATTGGCGGATTGCTTCAATTTGGCTGCCATTTGGTGGAGGCACAGGGTTTATCAGAGCTTATTTTGCTGCCTAGGGCTTGCAATCGGGTTGCTGAATGCAAATTTGAGTGCACCCAAACCAAAACAATGATTGAAAAGAACCTAAAATCCCTTGCAAATCTGAGCAGGATTAATGAGTTGGTAACAATTCTTGTTGGGTTCATTGCTATGAGCTGTAAGTGACCTTTTACATTGTAAGTATGATGCATTATTATTCTAAAAATATTTATCAATGCAGCTTTAACATGATACATAACTGGAATTTAGTTTGAACAAGGTAGCAATTTTCTTTTTTGAGAAGATACTCACCACAGTCATACATGCGGTTGAGCCTGGTGATGTCCACAGCACTGAAGTCCAGCCGCTGACCAATGATATCATTAAAGTACGGGATGGTGGTGGTGATTGTGGGGATGCTCTCGTTCTTGTTGAAGGACAGCGGTCTGTAGTGCATGATGGACTCATAATCATATGGTGTGTTCATATCAGTGATGAAGTCATCCTCGTACTTGTCGAAATTGTGCTGCTTTCCTGTAAGGAAGTACCATCAGGTAAGTCATTATTGAGGTATGTTACAGTTTGATTGGTGATTGGTGGTTTTCATGGAGGACTGCTGATTCATAACCTCAGTATTTCTAAAATCACAGCCCTGACATAGACAGAGATGAAATAAGTGTAACTCACCTTCTTCAATCTGGTCCCACCAGATGTTAACGTAGTCGTCTCTGTCTGAACGAGACTGCTCGTGGTAGAAGCCCAGAGCGTGGAGGAGCTCATGCTCCACGACGGCCTTAGTGTCACATCCGGCCCCAATGGACAAATCCTGACCTACGCCGTCGTCTCCAACGTACGACCAGCATCTGAATGATTGAAATAGAGAACAGAAATCAACTTAAGATGCTGTTAAACTTACAATACACGTGTTTAAGGAGCACTTCGTTACATAAGCACATTCTAATCTTTGATTCTTCAAGGTGTTGAGTTTGATGACATCACAGCGTCAAAATGAAGTTGAGCAACAGCCGAGATGACTCCTGAGTCACTCTGCAACTCACCCGGATAACTTCGCGAAGGAGATGAAGCTGGACTCTCCTTCATAGGGCTTGAAGTCCACACAGGATCTCAAGCGGTACTCCTCAATAGCCTGGAGGATCACACCTTTAGCATTCAGATCTATTGGAAAAGAAATTCGCTTTTAAATCAGTGCATGTTCATCAAATTATGTGTCAGTAGAAATGTGTATTCCATAGTGCACGATGTACCTAAAGAATCAGTCAGGATATATGAGATAGGGAACTTCCATCTTCTTGTTTGATCGACGATTGCATTTCTGCTGGGCTGTAAACACACTGAAGGTGGTCAGGAATTGCATTTAAGTGCTTTACAAAGACAGTTTTTACACATTCTCTGAACACTCACATTACCAGCGATGTCCCCCTCGAACAGATGGTTCAGCCCTAAAAATGTGGAATATACCTTTTTAGTCAAAATGAACACCAGTCAAGCTTTTATCAGCATCATACAGAGCTTAGAACGATACCTCTGTTGATCTCAAGTATGTCGTCTCTCAGTTCCCCTGCATCTGCATCATCACCTGGAGGATAAACTTACTGTTAGTGCAAAAAAGTAGTAAACAAAAAAGCTTGTCTCATGTACAGACAGTCAACAGAGTTAAAAGAAACCAACCGGAAGGTGTCGGAACAGCCTGCACCTAGAACACAGCAAGAGAAGCTTCTTAATTTAAATCCTGACCAGAGACACTGATTTTTCATATGATTTCAGATATTTGCAAAAACTCCTTACCTTCAAAATCACAAAGATTCCTATTAGCGCAGCAGTTTTCCTCAAACTGTCTCCAGAACCCATTCTGTCATTTGCACAGGAGACTCTGCTGTCAGAGTAAACAGCCCCATAAAGACAACAGCTGAAAAGGAACTTTGATCGGGATTCGAGTTTTTAATAAGTAACAGACATCTTGCACGTGTCCTTGCTGTCACTACTAAAACTGACACGCCATCAGGTGTTCTGCAAGGTTGTGATGGCAGTAAACCAGCAACTCTGCCAACAAAAAACAACACAAGGTTGAGTAATATGAATGACTCTGAAAGCTTATAAACCTGGTAATTATGTTGTTCACTGGTTAGACTCCGACCTACGGGGGAAGAAGCAAGTGCCAGTAAAACAAAAGTGCTTGCACATTAAAGAAGCACAAATAGGAAAACACAGCACAGAGCAGTGATTAAAACGTTGAAAATTCAGACGGTCATGTGAAGACACCTGTGATACCTGATAACGGCCTCTATCATATTTTTTTTTATCTTATCAGTAGTGCATCGTTATGTATCAACTGTCAACACAGATGAGGTCCGGTTCCATTTTTTTTTTGTGTGTGCGTAGATGTCAAAGTAAAATCCACATGAATGCCTGGACCAAAGGTTTTTGTAGCAGGACTTTGCATTGTAGCAACATGATCAATGTTTTTGACTCGCTGTTTTGGGTGTTCGGTGTAAATGTTGCTAAGATAGATAATTAACCATGTGAGAAGTTGATGCCCCCATCCTTACTGTAATTTTGTCTAATGAGCTATGATTAGTTTTCAGTTTTTAAACAGTGGAAAACAGCCATCAGTAGACACAAAAAGCAGAGCTGTCTGAACTGCTGAACAAGTGGAAATGATTATTCAGATCTAGATCCTACTTTTCCCACAGTGTCATGGTCTTCTTGCTTTAACCTGATCACACTGAGATTTTTGCTAACGTGTCTCATTTCCTTGCGTTTTAGCCGGTAAGGATGTAAGAGACACATATGAAGAGGACAGAGGAGAATCTATCATGTGCAATGTGCAATTCTGTTTGGGAAAAATGACCACAAATATGCATAGGCTTTTGATATTTCATCAAAATCACTTTATTTTGCATGTTTCATTCAAAATGTCTGCAGAAGCACAAGATTCTGTTAATACAAAAATAATACTAGTTTCTTTGTTTGAACTTTAAGGAAGACATGATTCAAGAAGACACGTATGGAAACAAATTATAGAATGTAAGAGGAAAACAAAGAATACTTGATCTCTAAAATAGAATCGGCACGACACATTCAGCATGGTGAAATATCTTTGTACAGTTGATGTGCAAATTGTGAAGTTCTCTCTACTTATAGCAATGGTTGCGTTGTTTCCATAGAGATGCTGGACTCTATATTGCAGCGTACAATGAGCCTGAAGTGAGTAAAAATGTCACAGAAACAAAAAAACGCCCTAAAACTATTTAGAGTTCAGAGGGTTCATGAATAAACAAAAAACACTTGGAATTACACAAACACTGACTTGTTCATCAATAGCTTTAATTTCAACATTTTAATAGCAAAGCCCTTCAAATATGCACAAATATATTTTAACTTTTATGTACACAATTTTTACCAAACATCACTCTACATTTTGTATATTTTATGTATAATTGTGATTCCGCCGTAATCTCCCATCCTGTCGTCATCTTCACAGGTTTTTCTTGTCATCCCAGCTGCGTATGCTGCATTTTAAATGAGAAGACATTTCACAGAATTGTTCGACATACTCTTCACAGGCTAAATGTGTAAGTGTGTAACGTCTTACCTACGATTCATCGCTGTACAAAATCTTGCATGACCTTATTTCACTGGCTTAATGGGAACTTCTGTTTTGATGAGTGATGCTATATCTGTGGACAAAGAAACAGGCACTTGTCATGTCCGCTTTGAACATCACTCTGCGAACTCACATTTTTATACACAAGTATCGAACACCAACCTTCAAAGTCAATGAAGATGATGAGGTCATCGTTCTTGAGGTAATTGCGCCGCCTGAGGTCGAAGTGCTTGACGAAGTTCCTCCAGCCCCACGTTGGGCCTCTGTAGCATTTACATGAGGGGTCATACGTCCCCACCTTGGAGGGATGGTCCCACATATATTTTCCATCTGGTGCTAGAAGAAACGAAAGGCAATATTCACCAGGAAAGATGGGATCACACCAGTTGAAAGACTTAACAACCACTAGAGATTGGAAGTAGACGATAAAGCTAACTTGGCCCTGTCCAAAGAAAGCTAGTTAAGGATAACTGGTCCTGTAAAGACATTTAATTAGCGAATAACTGAAAATACTTCAAAATGCAACTTGTCAGTTTTAAAATATCTGTGTGTGTACGCTAATTATGAAGTTGGCAATTAGCTTAGCATAGCATAAAGACTAGAAGCAGTGGGTAACGCTAACTTGGAACTTATCTGAACTTAGGTTAACAGGAAACTCACAATACTATGAACTACAACTTTTTATTTTCAGCATTTCTGTGTGTGTATATGGTATTTATGAGGGTAAAACCAGCAATTAGCTCAGTTTAGCTTAGTATAGAGACTGGACACAGAGGGGAGTTAGCATTGTCCTGTCCAAAGTGAGTAGGTTAAGTACAGCCTCATAAGTCGACTCATAAGTAGACTCTTGAGGTTGCGTTCACACAGAATGCAAGGTAAACATTACAACTGCAAATAAAGTCAGCAGATGACAAAAATGGGCAAAATTCAACCAATTTGTGCTGGTCAGGTACTCAAGGTAGCAATGGTGGTAAAACTGGTTCAGGATCTCAAGACTGCATTATAAGTATCTGATAAGTGGTGTCATAGAGTCCCTCCTTGTATTTAGAGGAAGGGGTTGCATTTGTGTTGCCCCAAACAGAAAAGAAGTCCAGTTGCCTTCTACCGAATCACTGAGGACTGCTCACCCCAATGTTTCATCTAATTCATTAATATTAAGAGACTGTCTATGAAGTTTGTTGAGACAAATAAACACAGAAAAGCACAAATGGTCAAACTGATGTTCATGTGGTGTGTCATCATAGCACTCTGCTCTTGTTGTCATTCCTAAGCCCATAAAAAACACTTACTTGTCGCCAAGTTGGTAGTGAGACTGCGAGCGGTGGACATCCTCAGCTTGATGTCTGGGTCTTGGTCCATCACCACCAAGGTGGCCTGTCTGTTTACCGCTGGCCACTGCATCACCACGTCATTCTCCCCACTGATCAGGTGGAAGTACAGCCCAGTGTAGTTGCCAGTGTAGTCAGTGTAAGTTGACAAAGGCATGACACGGACGCCGTAACCGTAGCCTTCAGGGCTGTAGAAACGTGGGCTGTCGATATATGTAGAGGTGTCGGCCGTTTCCATGATCTTGGAGAAGTTCTGGATCGTCCACACGGCGTTGGGGCAGCGCGTCTCAGTCAGGCTGATGTCGTCGATGTAGATACCACCAGTAGATGAAGTGGGGTCACCGCGCACGGCTTGGAAAGCATAGCGGAATTTCACTCCTACTTCTATTGGGACGTGGGCGATTTTCCAGGTGTGGTCAGAATCCGCTAGGTAACAAAAAGGGACATGGTGGCAAATGTGTGAACAAAATTATTTTTATATTGAAGTAATATGTTGTATAGTTTAAGGTACCGTTTGATATCTTAAGAAACATTGTGCTTGGCTTCTTGACAAGAGTTAGATAAGAAGATCAGTACCATTTATATCGCTCTATAAAGCATGAATCTAGAGTCAGCAGGTTAGTTGCTGAGCCTAGCATGTAGTCTGGAAGGTGGGGGAAGCTGGCTTGGCCCTTGTCCAAAGTTATTTAGATAAGGCTAACTGGCCCTGAAAAGAGATTGTTACCTTAAGTAACTCACAGTACCATAAACCTCACATTTTCATGTTTACATTTTTGTACATGTCTGCTAACTATGAAGGTGTAGCAGCCAATGAACTTAGTTTAGCATAGCATAGAGATTAGAAGCAGAGGATAATGCTGACATTTCATCAATAAGAAACTCACAATATTATGAAGTACAACTTGACATTTTTGTTTGTGTATGCTAGATATAAATTCTGATTAACTTAGTTCATAATGACGTTTGAGCCAGCAATTGCCTTAGCTTAGCATAAAGACCTGAAGTAGAAGATGATGTTGAGAGTAGAGGATGATGGCCCTGTCTGAAGCGAGGTAACATTAAGTTGCGCTACAAATAAACTTTTACAGAATATAACTCACAATCACCACAACTTGTCATTTTTAGCATTATATGTGTGTATGCTAATTAAAAAGTCAGAGCCAGCATTTACCCTAGCTTAGCATAAATAATAGACGCAGAGGGTAAAGCTTGCTTGGTCCTGTCCCTCAGGTATTTTGATAAGGTTAACTGCCACTAAAAATTTAATTTTACAGTACGAAAGTCACACTAGGAATGTCAAGATAGCAACTCACAATTCGATACAACTACAACTTGTCGTTTTAAAACTATTTTGCGTGTATGCTAATTATGAATCTAGAGCATGCGATTAGCTTAGCTTAGTATAAAAACCAGAAGCCTACTTAGTGAGCTTGCCCAACATGATTTAGGTGAGGGTTTAAAAATGTATTTTACAAAAGTAACTTAAAATACTACGAACTACAATTTGTCATTTTTACATATTTGTGTGCTAATTATGAAGCTAGATCCAGCAATTAGCCTCCTTAGTATAAAGCCAGGAAACAGGGGGAATCACTGGTCTGTCCTGACTCAGTGGTACAAAAAAATGTTGTAAAAATCCATCAACCAGCACCTTAAGAGTTTGCTGATTAACACATTGTATATCATTTTAAAAAAGGCAAAAGTAAAAAAATAAAATAAAATAAACATGTAGTTGATTGGAAGACTGGACCACACAAGCCAATTGCCTGTTAGCTTCATATTTAATCTACAAACAAAAGATCTAAATGTTTTCTGTTGTAAGGGCTACCTGTTTTCCACTGTTCCAAACCTTTCACCGCTGTCTTTGTGTAAAAAAAAGGGTTATATCTGTCTCGCTTGTCTTAAAACAACTAGATTTGAATATCCTTAACTTGCTGAGCTGCTATTTGCATTGTTGCAGAGCTGTTTGTTCAGGCATTTGCTGGAAGTTTCTTGGAACACTCCAGGTAGCTGCTGTGAAATATGTAGAGTCTATAAATATGCCCACTTCATACCATAGAATGTGTGTATCTTCTTCATTTTGCGAACAGTGCCTGTGCCGTCATCCATCTTGATCCATATCACCAGCCTGTCCTTGGGGCTTCCCGTCATTTTGTAGAAGAACTGCAGACACTTGATCTCTCTCTTGGGGTAGAGGGTTCGGGATTCCAGCAGAGCAGACTCCTGAGGACTCCCACTCATGGTGTTGAAGTGCATGAAGTACCCAGCATCTAAAATTCAATCAAAACAAGACCATGTTTTAATTATACAAATTATACTAATGCAACATTTTTCATGCTGCCTGACTGTCAACATCTGACCTCTGCATCGCCCCAGGAGTGTGTGATCCTCTGAATCCACAGTAGATTTGGTGTGGATCCAGTCAGCATCATCGGTGGAGGCCTGAATCATCCCGCAGATACTTGCGTACTCAAAGGCACACTGGTCCAGCAGGGTGAGTGGTCCAGCTGGGGTGGAGGGTGAAAGAGGATTTGGAGGTTTAGCAGATGATTCTATACACTGAATCCCACTTCCTGATTTCTGTCTAATAGCATTGTATTCTGTAGCTGTCAGTGAATAAGTTAATTTGCTCTGATAACATACAGCAGTTGTACATGCGGTTGAGCCTAAGGACATCCATCTCGCTGAAGTCGAGGTACTGGCCAATGATGTTGTAGAACTCTGGGATTTTGGTGGTGATAGTGGGGATGGATTCGTTCTTATTGAAGGAGAAGGGTCTGTAATGCATGACAGACTCGTAGTCGTACGCCGTGTTTTGATCGGTGATGAAGTCGTCATTGTATTTGTTGAAGTTGTGCTGAAGTCCTGCAGGGAATTTGGTATTCGTTTAGTTACTTCTTACATCAAAATGCCACAATAAGTGGTAAAAAAACATGCAGTAAGTTGTCCTTTCTGTATTTGTCTTAAGTTTATTACTCCTAATAATCACATACCTGATTCAACTTGGTCTAGCCAGATATCAACATAGTCATCTCTGTCTGTGCGTGACTGTTCGTGGTAGAATCCCAGAGCGTGGAGTAACTCGTGTTCAATCACTGCCTTGTGGTCACAGCCTGACCCCAAAGACAGGATCTGACCTTCCTGCTGGTCGCCAACGCTGGAGAAACACCTAAAATGGTAGAAGTTGAGAAAAGAATATTCAGTCTTTTTTTTTTTTTTTACCTTAACATGTCCTTATGGTGCTGGAAGACACATCATGAGTCAATAAGCTGTCAACCACAGTCTGAATATTTTGACAACCAGGGGTTCATACAGTATGTAACGAACCACTTCAGCAACCTGTAGGGTGGAGCTTTGCGCATCTTTATTCTTCTTCAGAACTGGTTTCTGGTTTCCATATTACAACTTGCCATCGTACAATAGGTCTACAGTGTTGTAGAGATGTAGATGAGCTGGTGTGCTCGAGCTGCAGCAAGTAGCAGAGGAGTAGGTGGAGACAGATGTGGCGCTTTAGAGATGAGCACATTCTAAAGGAAGCAAAACTGTTGAGTCTAAGAAATTTTTAGGCAGAAGGGGATTATTTTTGTGGGGGGAAAAACTTCTAAATGTGTAATTGTGAAACACAGGTATACATTTTTAGGGGTTAAATTAATGGCAGGAGAAGGGCTTTTCATTTGTGATCCAGAATGCAAAGTGTTTAAATGTCAAATGCACACTTCGGTGCGTCTTTCAAACTCCATGGACTAACTGTAAAGCAAGATGAATTCAAAGTCTCTCAAGCCCACAGTTAGCTTGGGCCAGGGGTTATTTTCTCAAACCTTACATAGCTCCTTTAATTATCGAACTCTTTTCAAGTAGCACTGACTCGTGAGGAGTAAACTGATCTTCATGTGTATAATAGTTGGTGGATTGCAACTTTAGGGCTACTTAAAGGCCAGAAGAAGAGCTGCATCCAAACATTATTCAAAAAAGTAGTTAACACAACAATTAGCTGACTCTTCTGCTATACAGTGCATACTGCAAGACTTAAAGGTAAAATTTAAGACTGTGTAGCTTTAATTTGAATGCATTTTTAAGGATAAGTTAAATGAACAAAGGGTTCAGGTGAATTTACTTCACACTGTAATACTGCAAACTGTCTTCAGAGACCATTAATGGCCTATTTTGCAAATGCAGTAAACACATGAAAGCAACTGCCGTACCCTCCTCTCTTTTCGAACTTGATGAAGGTCTTCTCTCCCTCATAAGGCTTGAAGTCGACACAAGACTTGAGCCGGTACATTTCAAACGCCTGATGGACGCAGCCTTTGGCATTCAGATCTGAGGGAAGGGAGCAATTTTTCAAAGAGTCACAGGTATTTATTTTCAGAAAAACAGGGGACACAAGCTGGTTTACAGTTGATATAATGTTAAGCTAGTACTGCATATTGAAGAAACTCACCCAGATCATCACCCAGAATGTAGGGGATTGGAAATTTCCATCTGTATGTTTTATCAATCAGCGCATTTCTTCCCTCCTGCAGCATAAAGGAGGTTTTTAGAAAGTGAATGAGGTGAGATAATAAATCTAATCAAGATCATTAGAAGTGCGCACACAATAAAACACGTCTTCTTATCTAACATAGATATTGCACTGTACTAAAGGACCGAACAACAAACAAGACCGCCAATAAAACAATTAAACAAAAAACGATTAGCAGTCACAACTTACAGGGAGTAAGATGTCTCCCTCGATGAGGTTGGCATCTGAACCTGCAGCACAAGCAATTTCAATCAGTCAATAAATACGTAGTATTTTACATAATATTTCAGTCAAAACAGCATCAGTGTTTTTGGTGTGTACGTTATGAAGCGATGAACTGTATCTCACCTGGGTTTAGAATCGGATTCTCATCTTCACCATTCTCATACACCTCTGCAACACACACACACACACACAGCTCACAGTCTGTCACATGTCTAACAATGTTAACAAATTGCATGAAAAATCATTTTTTAACATACCGTGTACTTCAAGGGAAACTGGGATCTGCATCAAATAAAACCAGCGTAAGTCACCATGCACTTAATGTTCATAATCCCACCATGACTAATAAACACATACTTACAGCGTGTGAGGTGGCCAAAACCACGAGTCCAAACAGCAGCAGCGCTTTCTCCATCATCGTGCCGAGTGTCAGCTGGTGAATGCTGCTGGTTAGGTTTAAATGTGCAAGCTGATGGGATACGACCTTTAGAACTGGATGAAGTTTATGTTGGCTATAAAGAGTAACCCAAGGACTTTGACTCAGAGCTGTTACTGATTTGTGGGTGTTTTTTGCATGCACGTTGTTGTCTGCACTTTTTAACACCACCTTTGTCAGTTATCTGACTTTTATCTAGTTGTAGCATCTGATAGCACACTTAAATCAACTGCAATTCAGCAACACAATCACAATTACCAAAAGCACAAAAGGTCAAAAGTATCTTTCTGTATAGAGTCTGTCCTCGTTTTTACTTAGGTTTTCTCCATGTGTTTCAATTTAGCACATTAATTGGAGGCAGTAAGCTAAACAAAATGTCTGTGGGACTTTAATATTTCTGACATATCTTCTCTTATGTGAAAGTAAAGAAGTCTGATCCTCGTTATTCAATTCAACCACTAGAGGGCAGCAGATACTCAGTTTCCGTAAACCTCTACCTGATGTGTGCACAGCAGCAGATGCATTTTGCACATGAAGTAAGATGAACAGCTATTACAGATCAGGAGCTACAGGGTTTGTGGTTTCAGATTCTTATTTTACCAAAAAGGAATATTTTTCTTTAACACCTCTTCACACAGCAAATAGTGCTGTTAAGAAGAGTCAATACATGTGAATAGAGTAAAATTCTTAACTAATGCTAACACGAAATTTTTCTAGCTGATTACTTGATTACTCAATAATTTTCTTGCATTACTAGTTTTCTGAAACTGTATTTCCTAAATGTGCCAATGAGGTGTTTCTGTCAAAATACATGTTTGTTTTCAATCCAGAGTCATAGGAGTCAATGGAAACTGGAAAATGCTCTAATTTGCATAATTTCCTGAACAGAAATCCAAACATTAGGGGGAATTTTTTTTATTTATTTCATTATGTTGGCATTTTACTGTCAATAGTTTCACAGAGAGGATTCCTGATGCCTCTTTTTATCTGTCAACAGTCAGAGGAAATCTATTTTTGAGTTTTTAGGAATGTTTAATAAATCAGGCTATGAATAATATACGAACAAACTCCTCCGTAAAAGCCTTGAAAATATAAATAGGAATAAAACTGGAAGGTTTAGTGTATATAAGGGCTACTGAAATGGAGATTTATGCTTCAGAGCAAAAGAAGATAAACACATTTTTTGTTTTAAAAGTGATTTTAGGATCCTTCTATTGGTTTTATTTATCGGATTTGATCTTTTTTCTATGAACCTTCTACACAGTCTTTCTACTAGTCTAAAAAAAAGGCGTTATGAAAGCAAATGATCCTAAAAATCTGTCTCGATCTTGCAGTTGTTAGTTGTACACAGTAAAATGAAAACATGAAAGAAGTAAAGGAGGTTGTGTGTAAATATATTAAAATAAATACATTAACATTGATCTGAATATGTGCCACCTGCATATTTAAAGAGGTTAAATGTTCCTTCTCCAAACAAAAAGACATAGAAGAGAACATTAGAAAACACAATGCTTCGTATGTGTGTGTGTTGACTCAGTAGAATTAAGATTACATGAGAAAATCTGATTTACAGGAGAATATTTGAACGCAATTCAAAATGCCTGAGAGAATTAATGAAAATCCAATGGATACGTCAGCAGGTGCCTGAATGTTGCGTTTATTTACATAAAGACATTTCCACCATAAACTGTGCAGAAAGGCACAAGTTGGTGCGTAAACCTGCACCAGAATGCAGGAAATGATGCTCCAGACGCCTCAGCACGATATGTGCACATGATTTTCACTCAGCCTGTGTCACGTATACAAAAAGGCTAAACCAGTTAGCAGCGAAGGAGTGCAGCTAACTGTTAGCTCGTCAACACGTCGTGGCTAAAGTTAGTTCAACAAGTTGTAGCTACTTTTCGGCGTCCACCTTGTCTACTCAGACATCACTAATGTCTTGAACTTGGTTGAAAGCAAATGCTGGCGAGTAACTCTTATCCACACAACACGTTGTATATGTTTATGTAGTTGGAGCTAACGTCAACTTGGCATTTTAGCACATTAGCATGTTTACTAGCACGGTTGCTAACGTCAGCAAGCTAGCTACGTTCCTGCTGGAGCTAGGCTAGCATGCTAAAAAGAGAGGCTGTTTAGAATGTGTTGTCAAAGTTCAGTCGAATATCGCTCTGTGATAGTGAGAAAACTCATGCAGTACGACTATAAGGCGTGGTTTTATTAAAATACGTTGAGCTGTGAGGTAATGCTAACGTCGACGAGGTGGCCGAGTGGTTAAGGCGATGGACTGCTAATCCATTGTGCTCTGCACGCGTGGGTTCGAATCCCATCCTCGTCGCAATGTTTTCAGCTTTTTTTCTCCTTACCTAAACAGCTGAGCTTATCCTATTGAACAGGGAAATATGTTGACTGTTTCTCACTGTTGTAAGTATTTAATGCCTCACTTTATTTTAATCCCGCCTTTAGATGTAAATACCAAACAACAACATGCTGCGTTAGCTTTTCAAGGCAGCTTTTACCATCATTCATGGCGTAGATTTTAACTTTGAGGTGGCCACAATAGGCAGGAATCTTGAAGGGACTCTCTCAGGAAACCGTGAGTATTAAACGCTTGAATTGCTGCATGTTGTGATGTTTTCTGCAAGAATTTGTGGCTTTTCTGCATCAGTTCATGATGGAAATTTCATCAGTACTGTGCAGTTTCAAGATGCTCATCCATGGCATTGACTGCTTATTTCTTTCAGGATATGTCTCCAAGCATATTGAAAACACCACATGGACGTGTTAATAAAGTAAAAACTTGATTGGTTTTCATTTTTTTAGCCTTGACCACTGAAATTCCTGCTAATGGAGAATTTTAATGCACCAATTTGTGAGTTTTCTGTGATAATATATAAAGAAAGTTTCTTTTTTATGTAAAAGAAAAAATAAAATTCAGGCACCAGGAGACAATTCAAAACATAATGGAATGAAAATGCAGTTTCTATGCACAAACTTGTAATTTTTCTGCATCAATTTATGATGGAAATGTCATCAACACACTGCAGGTTGAAGGTGGAAATGCTCAGCCATTGCATTGACTGCCTATTTCTGTTGTGATATGTTGTCTAGCATGTAAAATACACCGTGTCAACAAGGTCGACATGTGGATTTTCACAGGGGACGAGCTTTAAGTCATGGTCTAGGTAGAGCTTGAACATTGGAAACAGGAAACTTTCAACACTGAACCCTTGAACTTCTGCATCTGATGACTTTTTTTGCACCAATTAGTGATTTTTCTGTTTGTCACCATTCAATTTAAGTATACAATATACACAATATAACACAGTGAGGCTCACAGGCATTTATTCTCCTGTCGATTAACTTCTGTTATTTCATTGTTATCCCTGATGAATCATCACACATATAGGCAGGCTGTCCTCTTTTTAATCTTTTGCTTGGAGAAGAAATGTGTCTGTGGCACCGCTTCGCATCATTATTAAGTAAGTATTTGAAATTCATTTATAACTTCCTGGAATTTAATAGCTAATTTTCAAACCTTTCTGCACAACATGTCTGTGTTTGATGTGCTGAAGAAATAGACATATGAGTCAACGTTACAGTGTTTTTTAAATGTGAAAAGCTTTTGTAGTTTCATGTTTTTATTGGTGGGTACAAGTGCACATGTTCCCTTGAAATTTGCACCTATACATTCATTACTGGGTATTTATTTGGGGAATTACATAAACAAAACTGCACCCTTGCAAGAACCTCTACACCAGCCACCACATCAGTGAATCTTTATCATATTTTTGTCCTCTCATAGTTTTGTTGTAACGGTGCCAGGCTTTACAGACTGCCTCCACTATGCCATTTTGTGAGCTGCGTACAGTATTTCACAGTGCTTTTGCTGTCCTTGTTTTGTGTAGTTTTACTCCAGGTAATCCTCATCTGCTTGATAGCCTCTGTTGTGACATCCCTTTTTTCTGTCCACATGTTTCTCGTCACAGCTCTCCTGGGGATCAGCGGGGCAGCTTTCATCTCCGGTGGCTCCATAACGACTCCCATCCAGTCCAGGAGAGAGATGGATCGACTCTGCCTGTTCCTCCCTGAGGCTATCTCGACTGATCTGTGTCTGTGAATGTGACGGAGGAAATACAGACAGTGAAATACAAGGAGCACCTGCATGTGTTTTGGTGAACAACTAGGCAGTTTTATCCCCTTTACAACCTAAAAAAAAACACACAGAAGATGATATAGTAGGGGCTCATTTTAACAGTCTGTTGGTCTGTTCTTCAACATGACGTTACCTTCTGATCACGATGATACTCATCTATGGCGTACTGGTATTTGGCTGCATTAAGTCCAAGTGCACCAGCAAGTCTCTCTCCAAGGAAATCACAAGCTAGTTTTGGAAACAAAAGAAAAGGATGTGGAAGCTCAGTGACACTTTCTTATGTAGCTAAAAATAGGCCTTGTTCTTTTTTTAGTTGGCTTCACATACGTTGGTGTGTGACTTTACGTACCCAGTAGTGAAATCCTCCCAACTAGAATGGCCACATTCTTGAATGAGAACTTAGTCTGCGGAGAAAAAAAAGACATGACCTGACAGCACCTTAAAGAGCAACATGCACATGAACTATTTCAGTACATTTTAAAGTAATAATTGTTGGAAATAGTTGTTTGAAAGGTTGTTGCACAATTTTGTGTGTTTTAGGAGACAGAAAGGCAGAAATCAAATGAGCACATCTCGTAAAACCTTGTGTTTGGTCTTTTTTGCTAATGCCACCATTTTTAATGAACTACTGAGTTTGAGACATCGAGTCCACACTTGTCCTGACATTGGTGCTGCGTTCAGGCCTGGGTGCATTTTATGCAGATGAGAAATCATGACTTTAATGCTGCATCTGTAACAAAAAAACGTGGTGGTGTTCAACACTGCAGGTCAAAAAGGTTTATATCATCGGAACGAGGAGACGCTGAGCTTTCATTTGATGTGTATATTGTCGGGAAACTTGATTGTGGAGCGAGCACATATGGCTGTGATTTTTTTGGAAAGTGGTCACGTCACGCGGGATGTAGGAACGGTAAAGGGGTTTTAAGCTCATCAGACATTTGAGAGTTTTCCCAATGTTAATATGCCAAAAACAAGAAAGGAAAGGAAAAAAGAAAACATAATGATTGTTCACGAGTCCCAAAACATGAGTCCAAGTCAAGTCTGAAGTCTCTCTGTGTGCGACTTAAGTGGGACTCAAGTCCGAGTCGCAAACTCGAGTCCCCGTCTCTGAGACAGGAGCAAGAGTCACTGATCGGTCAGAGATTCAGCTCAACAGAAACACAAACTGTACACTGTACGTCCTCGTTTATGTTTGCAAACTTCTAAATTAGTTGCCTCTCTTGTACTTCTCTCTCTCTCATGTGGCACCATAAAACATAGAGTCAGGTTATGTTAGACAAGCAGGATATGATCAATAACAGCTGATCCTCAAACTTGAGTTTCTTCGATGGATCCTCCAGGATTGAACAGCCATCCCTGATGTGTGACAGCAAACTTTACAGGACACACTACAATTTAATTTCTTGCTGATGGCTGTTGTATCTTCAAGTTTTCAAGTTTATAAAGCTGTGGTCCTTCATATGCATATATATTTACATTTTTTGACCTCCTTAGTGTCAAAACTACTCTTTGGATCCACATTTCTTGCATAAAACTGGTCCTAGCTCGGCTGCTTTCTCTTTTGTGACATAATGACCAAGTTATTGTACAGAAACTACTCTGTTATTGTTGTGCACATATAGACTTTGTTTTTTTAAATCTTGCTGCTGCGTCACTCTCCTACACAGTAATTCTCAGTGGTCGCCCACCTGCAAGTTGCACTATCACATTTAGCAGATTCCCACCCTCTGTGCAGGTTCTTTGAAGGGAACACTGTTGGACAGCTGCTGCTCCTCCTCCTCTTCTTCCTCCTCCTCGCTGTCTTCTAACTCCAGAGTTTCACCGCTGGAGAAGTGGATGACCTTCTTCTGTTTGGACAAGGCAGGACCACCACACTCGACTTCACAGGTGGCCGCTGAGGTCTGACAGGTTAAAGTACAATTACACACCAACTTTACAGCACTTTATCTAATGCATGTGCAGAACGTAGTGTTTTTTCTGTATAAAATAGTCACAAGCAGCTGCAAAAAGTTCACTTACTGAAGCCAGACTAAGCTAGTAGCTCTGTTTGCTTAATTATTACAACACTTACTTCCTGGTGGCTGTTCTGCATTCTTCAGGTAATATAAGTCTTTGTTTAGTGCTCCAGTGTAAAAGTGTAGATTCTTTCTGTCATGTCACAGCAGTACCGTAGGCTCATCCACGCTGACTCAGCTTTGTGGAGAAAAACAACTACAGGATACAGGATCAGTCCTGAAACCTGAGACAGCAAATACAGCAGTGCAAACCTTATCAGAGGGAAGTAGTTAAGAGGGCTGTCGCTGTTGTGGAGTCACTTTCATTCTTGTGCTGGAGGGGCAGGACTTGGGCGGTAGTGAAGAGGTGCAGAATGTGAAACTTTAGTGCCAATTCAAGCTGTATTAAGCTGAATGTTTCCAGTTTTCAACTTGTATTTGTCCTTCAAAGTCAGAAAATATGCATAGGTTAATATTCTACCTGTCTGCTTGTTGACCAACTTAATTAGTTTTCCTTTGATGTTCGTCAACGGATGATACTACAGTTATTTTAATTATGCTCCAGAAGGGCAACACCACCAGCTCAAACGAGGTGTGGACCACAAATACCAACTTTAGTTCCCATAAAAGAAAATATTTGATGTTCCACAATGAGATATTTTGAGGTTTCTCTGCCAAGCAGAAAAAGAGGACATCAGTGTCGTTTTCATGCAGTTAAACCAAGTCAACTGTTTTGTATATGTATTTAGTTTCGGTCACACATGAGCATCCATCCGTTAACAGTTTATTTATTGTCACATTAAGTATGTGCCGTAACATGCAAAGTTAACTATAGTCGCTTTATCCTGTTGAGTCTCTGGAGCCTTAAAAGAGGTTCACAGCATCAAATTCAGCAAGTTTGAAGTAAAACGGATAAAAAATTTGTCAAGAAAAGCAAAAAAGAAACAAAGACCTATAGGAGTTTAGTCCAACTAGTTTGGGGACGTGTTTAAAATCACAATAGATAAATTAAAGCCGCAAGCGGCGATGGACGGGTCCTCGCCCTACGCTTGTCGGCCTT